GCTATTATTAATCTATAAGTCTTTGCCTTATAAAAGATTCTTGCTTCTTCTAGAATATTTTTTTGGATCTTGTTATCCATGTTGTATCTTTTATGAAAGTCAATAGCTGTGTGCCTTAACTCTGGCTTTATTCCAATGTTTTTCTTTAATTCTGAATCTCAAGCTACTGATATTTTATAGCTTTTTGTTTTATCATTTTAAATCTTGCATAATAAAAAATCATAGAATATTCTTTATATTAGTGATGAGATAGTTTCTCCTTGATTACTTTCATTTCCTGTTGTAATTACCTCAGTTAGATCTTTTTCAAATATTATTTGAAATTCTTGATTTTAAATAGACTTATTATAATTTGAATAAAGTCTTCTAATATCTTGATTCTATTCATTGTTTTGATTAACATATTTAAACTAATAGATTATATGCTTTTGTTATATCTTGAAAAAGTATTCATAACTCCTTTTTATTTTTTCTTACTTCCTTACAAATATTATCGTGAATTTGAATCAGTTCTACTATACTTTCTCTTGATAATTCTACATAACTAGGTTCTCTCAAAATATTGTTAATCTTGCAAAAATTTCCCAATCTGTTTGTGAGGATCTTGGTAAAGTATTTTTGTATACCCTCTAACAACACTAACATTCCTATGGTTTTGGCTTTTCTATGGGATATATATATCTTTACTTCTATTCCATTTGAGTAACTTCCTACCTTAGAAAGTAATTAAGCATCTTTCTAAGATATTTTTTTCCTTCTTAATCCAGTTTTATTAATATTTTATAGCTAATTTGTGATTTCTATAGGGCTTTATTATTGGAATGTTCTTGAAGTGTTTTATATAGTTTTTTCTGGAAATTGGCTCCAGTAGAAAATATTTGAAATAATATTAAAAGAAGAGTTAATGATTAAGAGATTAATATTAATAGCAAAGAAACTTTCTGGAATAATTTATTAGAGATTTGGAATGAAACATTTGAAAAAACTTGTAAGAAATATATAGAAACAATTCCTAAAAGAATTAATGATATTATTAAGGCAAAAGGTAGTTATACGAGATGGTAATAGAAATAAAATATATTTGTATTATTATATATATGAATTTTTTACAAATAAATAAAATTTATTATTTTTTTTTAAAAAACTCCAAAAATAATGCAACATTAAATTTTAAAAAAATTTTTATTAATTTAATATTTATTTTAACTTATACATTATTTAAGCATACTTATATTCTATCTATATTATAAAATTCATCATGATTTGATCTGATCTGATCAATGATGTCCCTAAAATTAATTTTGGGCCTTATTTTTGTGTAACGTGTGATTATCTTATTTACAGATTAACATTAATTTTCCACTCGAACAAATAATACTCCAGGAACGGGATTTCAAGTATAAAGTAAAAAAATAAGGTCAATCTTTTTCTATATCTTCGTAGCTCTTTGATCTCTGGTAAAGTTTACAGTCTCGCGTATCCCTACTGTCGTTAGGCCATCCCGTCCTGCGTTCAGATGTTTGGAGGCAGTCTATTGGGCTGTCCTTAGACATACGTGTTTAAGGCCCGAGTCCCAGTATGCTGTTTTCCAGGATGCGTTCACTATACCTACTGTCGTTAGGCCATCCCGTCCTGCGTTCAGATGTTTGGAGGCAGTCTATTGGGCTGTCCTTAAGCATACTAGTATGCTGTTTTCCAGTGTACAGTTGACTGTAAATGTTAACATAGCTCTTTTACCAAAACGGATAATGACTAATAATTTGCATTTAAGATTTTTTAGATGTTTGAATCTGTGGTGACGGAATATCTTGAAACAAAGCTTAACAAAAATTGGTCTCTTTTCGGAATTCTAGAATTTGCGCGATCGAAATCGAACCCCAAATTATTTGTGGCCGCAATTGATGATTTCAAAGATGATTTGTATAAAATATTAAAAAAATATCAAGACAAGTGTAATGTTCACGTAAATGCCAAAAACAAGGCATCAAAGATTTTATCGAATTTTGATTCATCATTTTCCACTGCCGAGGTTAAGCAATTCATTAAGAATCTTGAATATCATGAGGAAGCGCGAATAAACGTAACATCAACTTACACTGCCACAGTATTAAGGGTAAATTTTATGAAAATTCAAAATCAACGTTCGCAATAGACAATAGACTTACCAAAAATTTTTTAGGATCAACAAGAAAACCAAATATTTATTGATCAATTACGAAAAACATCCTCGGAAAAGGAAAAGGAACGTGAAAAAACTACTAGACCACTCGATGCGGAAGAAGACGATGACCATTCGTACAAACGTCAATGTAAAGACGAAGGACTGTCAGATTTGATCGAGATACTTATATTTGCTTTAATATTTAGCAAAATAAAAAAAGCTTTCTCATATAAATTTTGTGAATGCATACATAGGTTTTAGATGATGAAGAACCCTTTGTTGAATGGGAGTTTGATACACCGAAACCAAGTTGGCTGGATAAAATAGCACACAAGCACGATTCATTAACTTACAATGCTTTTAATTATAATAATAATAAAATGACTCAATATGAATTGTCATTAAAGTAAGTATTTGATAAACATTGCTTCGTTTGTTATTTGTGTTTCCAGGTTCTAATAAATTTTTAGTCCATTTTGGTGGAGGATTATAGATCTATCCGATCCGGAAATTGCAACTCTTATACCAGAAGATGAATTATCAGAATTGAATGCAAAATTTTCAACCCTTTTAGAAAATTGGACCACCTTAGAACCTAAAGCGGAGAGGTGCTTGCAATCTCTCGAAAAGGTGAATTATAGAATTAAATATTTCGATTCTTTATTTGAAACTTATTAACCCGTGCTTTGATTCTCAGCTTGACAATGACTAGCTTCGCACTATTGGAGAAATACTTAGACCAAGAGGAATGTACGGAGCAATTCTTGAACTCCAAAAATTTATTGGAAATAAAAAGGAGCAGAAAGCCTCGGAATTAGACGATTTATTTGGAGATGAAAAAGAAATAGATAATCATAAGGAAATTTCACCGCTGACAGTTGACGATCATATGAACCCAGATGTTGCTTTTATTTTTGATTTAATCCGGTTTACGTAAGTTTTAATAGTTAAATACCAAATTATATGTTATTATACATGTGTTTAACAAGTCTTATGTAATAATTTCATTCAGATGTGAAATGATTGCGAAAGGGATCACTCAGCGACCTAATTCTGAGCGGGATATTGATATATTTATAACGAGGCACATTTTTTTCATGTTTCGATACTATCCTGGATAGTCACTTGTAAGTTTTATTGTTATTTTCAATTTTTTTTTTTATTATAATAATGTTTACGCTTTATTTAATAAGTGGCGAGGTGGTATCAAGGGCTTCCAGAAATCGTCGGGCAGAGGCGATAAATGCGCCAAGTAATACCGAGGGTTATCATTTGGATTGGATGTTCACGGTATGGGTATAATAAATCTTTAAAAGTTTTCATTATAAACTATCAGCGTGTTTACTGAATTTAATGATTTATAGAGGCATGATCTGGGTAGGGAATTATGTTGGGGCCGTGAATTTTCTCTTTGTGAACGCACTGGTTCAAAAACGGAAGACACGACCAAAATTCTCTCAAATACTCTCAAGGTACAAAAGACCTTAAGAGATATGCACCGAAATTTAATTGAAGCAATATCTACCGAGGGGGATGGAATGCTTTCAAATCCGGTCCTTCAAGCTAGTACCAAGCTACTGATGCCTGGGTTTTTGTTATCACATTTTTTATGCGTGCAATATTAATCATCTATATTGACGTTATTTGCTTTATTGCATATGGAATTGAGGGTAACCTGTAATAGCGTAAATATTGCATTATACAAATTTATAAAGCAGTAGCATTTCGACGCAGAACTTTTCTAGACATGCAAGTGTTCTTATAGAATTGGGCAAGGCTGTTGTGCACAACTTCCCATATCTACAAATGTTTGTCCCTTTGCAATCCATAGCAAGGATCTGAAGTGTCCAGCCTTTGAAACAAAAAATATATATACAGTAAGTATTTATGAATGAAGATTAGTTCATATCAACTATCTGCTTACCCCATGACTGGACGAGAACAAATATTTTATGCAAATATCATCCGAGGCGTTTGCATTAGAGTTGAAAAATGCGTGGAGGATATCCCTCATTGTTATGGATAAGTCGAGGAAATCCGAAAAAAATTTTTTACGATGTGGTTCTGGGAGACCATCACTTCGGAATCCTGTTATCGCTTCTAATTTATTTATACTATGTTTTAGAGTTCCTCGAAAGTCACATTTTTGCCCCACCCGAGCACGGAGCGTAATTGGGCGACCTTCGTTACGTCGTTGATCCAAAGCCCAGGAGCAGATCCCTCACCTAAAGAAATACGTGTATATAAAAGTTATTGATGAACAAAATAATAATGCCTGTTATAATTTCTTCAACTTACGAGTCCATCTTCAATTCGGTCTTGTCGAGAAATCAATGAATTATCAAGAGCAGACTCCGAAATCGGCAGATCAACATCGGCCAGGTTCTCCGCACTATGAAAAGTGGCCAAAGAGAAATTCAAACTGTAATAAAAAAAAAAAAAAGAAGTCCTTACTGTATTTCACTTACTAAGTCAAGACCGCTCTCTTGATTTCAATCAAATAGGCTTTGTCTTGTTCACCGAGTGTAATCTTGTACTTTGCTTCTATTTTCCGCAAAGAAATCTCGTCAATTTCCGCTACAATATCTTCACTCTTCTCATTATTCTTTATTATCTGAAACGAATAATAATATGAGCAAAATCCGAATGTAATAGAACATCGGTCATCATTAGTTACCTGCTCAATTTCATCGAAAAATAAATATACGACGTCAGGTATATTTTCTTCAACAGTTTCTATTTCGTCCTCGAAACTTTAAACATCTCAGTCCAATCTTCCGTAGAGAAGAATTGGTTTGTTTCTGGGTGAGTTCCGGTGAGATCGAGGATTCCCCAGCAAACAGGACTATTTAATAGAAAAAATCCATGAAATGAGTGTTAAAAGATGCAATCACTAGTGAAAAAAACTCACTTCACGCATTTTTGTGATTCAGGTATTCGACATCTATAAGAGGCTAACCTGTCCCACATCGGTCCCACTTGATAAAATCCAGCGTTTTGTTCGACCTATAGTGTCCGGTTCACGTCTTTCGACAAATTCATCTTTATTGGCATCATATTTATCGTCCTCATCTTTATTGACATTATCTTCTCAACGCCCTCATCTTTATTTATCGACCTCATCTTCAACGTCCTCATCTTTATCGGCTTCACCTTTATCGTCTTTATCTTCATCATTTTCCGATTCTTCCCCTTCATGGTCTATATCAGGTGTTGTCGTCGTTTGCGTTGTTTCCAGTGTGCCCTGTAATAAAGATTTCCAAAATCTCATTAATTAAGGTATGGTGAATTCCAAATCAAAATTAAATTTATGATTAACCTGATTTTTTAAGCGCGTGTTAAACCTATTTTGCACAGCCATATTGGTTTTTTTGGATCGAACGGTTTACTAGAATCTGGGAGCATAAACATGATTATTAACTTATATATTAAAGTAGATGGAATCTGATCATGCATCAGTCTTTTTGAATTTCAGCCTATCTAGCAGGACTAATATATTTACTTAAGAAAAAAAAGTTGCATTATGCTACATATGCTTCTTATTTTTTGTAGTCTTTTTTTTTGACAGCTTCATCTCTACATTTCTCATGCTGAATTTAGAACATTAAAATAATTATCAAAAGCCCGAGAACGATTCATAGAAAAGGAAAATCTAAAAAAACAAAGAATGATCGGATTGGAAGTTTGGATAATCCACGTTATATTTGTTCTTTCTTATTTACTCTTTTTGATGTTCTTGTTTCCATTATGTGAACTAAATTCTGTATATGCATAGACGTTATGTTTTTTCAAACTCATCAAAGACGCGACAAAAGTATGCGTTTGAAGATTACACAAAATCACGTGAATATAACGATAAATTAAGTCAGCGAGTACGTATCGAGTATCAACACATTTGTCCCTTAATCAAGTTAAGTAAAGATTTATTATTTTCTATATATTCTGTGCCAACAATTTTGTTATACGTAAAAGAAGCGTCCGCGGCAGACTCTTGTTCTGTCGGAAGCCAGTAATGGCGAGTCATATAAGTAGATGGCCGGCTAGATTTTATTGAAAACATAATTGTTATGGGGCTTATTGCATTCAAAGCGTCCGCGGCAGACTCTTGTTCTGTCGGAAGCCAGTAATGGCGAGTCATAGAAGTAGATGGCCGGCTTATTGAGTGATGATTAGCCCACTTAGAAGTTGCCTAACTAGTTATTTCATTCAACAAAATACTAACGCTAATATTTCTTGTTCTGAGAAAACTTTTTGCATTTCGCAAGAAACATGATGAGCCTAGTTTCCGCAAGACACTGTCACATGATGGAAGAGCAAAGTACTCAAAGAGGTTATAACAAGAATCTTGGATACACCTATCAGAGATAATTTGGCCTAATTATATGCTTGTAGTACATTCCCCACGCTTTTTTGCAAAAGCATACATTATTGGTCTTGAGTAGGACATCGGCTCTAGGAATAAAATCCTAACGGCTCTTCGAATAGTGTTGCTGCTTTTGTATCTCTCCTCTGCTAGTAATAAACCAAGGAACTTTTTTCCTACTCAAACTACGTTCTCGAACTGTGTCTCCTTTCTCAACAAACGAAAAGAAAAAGCTGTTACGTCAGAGAAAACGCTAGCTAAGAAGACGAAGTTGTCGCGTACTGCTCGTTACAATAAAAAACGTAAGCTTCGTAAGGAACAAAATCAATATTATCGATAGGGCAAAACGAACATACGTCCATACTACCGTCGAGTCAGAGATTTTGCGCGCCGTGCGTCACTTTTGATCCAAGCCAGGTACATTTTTATTTCTTGATAAATGCTTAGCACGGACTGTTTCTGTTAGTTGCTTTTTCGTGTCTTTGCAATAGCAAATTATTGTCAGGTATACTTAGTATGTCTTGTGTTCGACAGGACATGATCACCTTATTGTTGGCTCGAGTTCAATTCGCAAAAAATCAATTGAGCAGCACGCTTTGCCGTTATATTTACACCTTACGTTAAAATTGTATTATTAGCACCGGACTCAGCACATAACTCGGAGATTTTGTACGAGCAACAAGATATAGTATATCAAGAAAGAATGGAGAAGTGTTCCGCTCTGTTTGTCGGATCGCACGGCGTCAAGGTGTATCAAAATTGTCGAAGAAATTTCTACGAGGGATCTATTAACTGAACCGTTAATTCGAGAAGCTAGGTTAATGAGTGATGCCGAGGTATCAAACGGCCCTACGAAGTTTTTTAAGTTAGTTGACGAGGATATAATCAAAATCGGGCTAGCTTGTTTTATGATAGTAAAGAAAAGAATAAGAGTTTGTGGATCGATTTTGGTCGGTGGTTGGGGATGAAGGAGCCTATTGCGAGAAGAGATGCGCGCCGTCACCTTCGATCGAGTTGGATAAAATTGCAACTAATAGATTTTCAGAACTAAAAACAGGAAGCGTCTAATTTCACTGCTCAAATTTCTCGAAATGAAAAGACCAGAATGATAATGTCCGCACGTGGGGATCTTCTCGCGCTCAGTAAAAAGGTATATTCTCTTAATATCTTGGATCCGGGATGTGTCACAGATACCGAGGGTGGAATTTGATTCACCTGGAGTGCTAGACGAGGGTGCTGTAAAAAAAGCCACCGAAGCGGTAAATTTACTATTATTTCCACGCCTTGAGTAATCCTTCTCACCGGAGTAACTATTTCTGGGAAAATTTTATAGAGCATTTTGGGACGTACGCACGAAACAATCTCTTACCTTTCGCTAGTTCAAACAAAGCAAGTTCACATAACGTTGATCACCGAGGATGTGTTGAAACTCTGTTGCGCGATCTCTATCCGCTTTCAATTTCCGTTAATAATTCATGCGAGAATATTACGGGGGTTATATGAGGAACTGGAAAATTTATCGTGGGGGACTTTTGGACCTTGACCTTTTGGGGTCTTCCCGATGATCGCAATTAATTTTAGCACGATCAGCGATTACCATTGGGACGATCACGACGATCCAAACTCTCTGTTTTCTGGTGGCATTAGGGGATTTTGAGGGCGGTGAGCTTTGCTTTCCGCAATTCCAGATCTTGGTTCCATTAAGGCCAGGGCAGATCATAGTATTCTCTTCACGTTTCTTTTTGCGCGGTAAATTTCCCATGACTCGAGGTATCCGACATAGCGTCGCTTATTTTGTTCACGATAATTTCTTCCACCACCCGCGCGATTTTATCGAGATTTACAAAGATCGAAAGAATGGAATTGAGCGAGATGTGAATGGGTCAGTTGTCTCTTAAATCCCCAAATAAGATTTAAATGACGCTCGTAGATTAAATCGCAGGTTAAACTCGACAAGTCGAAAACCAATTGGATTCGAGTTCCGCCGTCATCCACTGATCGTAGAAGAGGGCATATCGGTAAGTATTTTACTACGTGTTGTTACATATACCCGAGATAAAGAACGATTTTAATGCAGTATAAGTATACACGGACTTTGTCCGATATAGTCAATTATTTTTTCTTTAGACTGGGTTTAAAGGCCGAGGGGGGAGTTAAATGTAAATACTGTATATCAGATAATTTTCGTGTAAATATATCAATAAATATGAGATCACGACCCATCAGGGGCTTTTTACTGCATGTTCAAAATACTCCTATGCTGGTCTCTGATTCGCGGATTAAAAACACATGACATCGCTCCATTATAACGCGATGAGATTTATGTCAAAGATACTAGCTCCATTATGCGATGCATGGGAAAGGCCCTATAAAGCTCGATATTTAGATGCGATAACATCCTCACTCCGTGAGACATTACCTTTTGCTTTACGCTTTAGAATAGGCGTTTCATATATATAACTTCTATTCCCGAACTAGATGTAGAATTACTTGAATCGACGTCCGAAGTACTCGAATTGGATCGGATGTTGTAGAGATGTTTGATCTGCGATATAATGAATCTTTTGATTCCCCAGGAAGTATTTTGTAAAAATAATGAATATCTCTTATAACTGGGTTTTTGATACTCCAGATCCGTTGAGATCTTTGATACGCAGAGTTGTTATTACAAAAGCATCCTCTGTGTCGATTACAATTTCAGGTATGTATATTTGAGGCTCATTGCTATCATCAGCTCGAATATAATGAAGAGCTTAAGGGTGCTGAAAATTCCGAAAATGCAGAGTGCCTTAGGAAAAAGACTTGGTACAATGTCAGATGGTTATAATTTTTTGACTGAAAGTGATGGTAATGAGTTCCCTTGTGAAATGACAATTGATTCACCATCATTGATTTCAATAATAGAGAAGTATCGTGTAAAACAAACCACTTCGAAATTCGAGTAAGCCTTTTTTTGCAAATATTAGATGAATTACATATTACGTTCATTTCATAATCTAATTTATTCCCCTTGTACAGTTTGGCATACCTCTATATCCTGGATCTTACATCCAAGTCAAAAATAGGAGAATTTGAGCCAAAGTTATGGGCAGAGCTCATAGTTGATCAACCTGTCATAGCCAGAACCGAATATCACAAAGAAATTGAATCCATTGCGATCACCTATTTACGTATATTTTTCGAGACGCGTTCAATGAAATATATGAGCACAAGATAGTACGGTAAAATCATGAAGTGGAAATGCTAGAATCTCTTTCTCATAAGTACGAAATGGAATGATTTTAGAAACTTTATCGCCAGGTATTTCAGAGATGCCTCTTAGAAAATTTAATGAAAGTGCTTTGAGTTGTGAGACATCTCTTCTCCCTATATGAATTTCAAAGGCACTCAGATAAACCTAGCTGATCATATCAATGTGTTTAAAATGTGTTCAGGATTTCTCTTCCTACCAATATACTTTCTACGTGCAAGAGCTAAAACAAATAGTATATGGTCCGAAATTTCATTAATTGACGGAATTATAAATCCAGAAATTTCCTAAGGCAGTCACAAGGTGGCAAGAACGAAATATGTTTATGTTATACACAATTTATTGCAAAGCAATGGACTTCATCCTACAAATCTGGAGATACCTTTTTCTTTATTAATACAACAAAAAATACATGTGAAACAGGAATCAATCTACCAACTATTTCTTGGCAATTTACTGGCTGTATATCAACACTACTTCGGTCTTTTAATAATCCAAACCAAGAATTATCCCGATTATCTTTTTCACAATGCTTCGAAGCAAATCCAGATTTTCCTTGATCGCGGTTTTATTTCATATTCTCCATTACTTATAGCATACAGCATATTCCTTCTGGTGTATGTACTTATAGTAAAATGCCATTCTATGGCTTAAAATAAATTCAACATTAGTGTTAGAAAAATCAGGGAAAATAATATGACTCAGTGAAAAAAATTCACGCACTTTTGCCAAGAAAAATACATGCATGTTAAAGATAAACATGATGTAAGTGACATTTCTTAATATTCGTATAGCATTGATAAACTAATATATCATTAATCAAAGAATAAAAATTTCAAATTTCTTCTATTTCTTAGCTACACTGTATATACAGTATATACAGTATATATAAGAATAAAATATTATACAATGTTTCTGAAAAGCTGTCCCGTGATTTCCTCAAAGGTGACATGTGCTACATCAGGGAATTCACGAACTTTTCTCGAGTGATTTGGAATTCCAGGACTACCTCGAATATAGACAATACGAAATCCAGGCACTCGTGTTCCATTTCTGATAACAACAAACCTATTTTGTGAATCTATCATGGCAGAATGACCATGACCATACATCTCATCGAAATACATCTCAATTTGGTTTCTTCCATTAATTTGCGCCTGAGAGATACCAGCTTGTGCAGACATTATTTCAAATGCTTTCCCGATGTTTGTTGATGCTTTGCTGTTGTGTGTTACGAAGTCACTGATAGATACTTGTATGAATATAGGTCCGAGCATGTAATCGAATCGAGGATATCCTTCAAAGCCGCGACTTAAGACTCTATCAGAATCAGGTCCAAGGGATAAGGCAGGAGACTTGATCACAGCATAGTCATCAAACTGGAGCGTAACAACACTTCTATTATTATTATTGAGATCCGTTGTATTGAGTTGTATTGGTATGTTAGATTTGCACACAAGTCGATTGAATAAGGCTTCCTCAAATTGATCTCCATTCAGATTTCCTATATTGAGTTGATTTTTTATATTTTCAGGCAAGTCAAATGACATGTACGTTTTTAATAGAACTTTCCGAGCAGATGGGAATAGAGGGAAGGAACGAGTAATTCCTTTTTCCTTATACCGATAAATTAATACAAGATCTAAGAACCTCGAATTAAACTGCACAGTGGGTCTACTTGGAAGAAACATGCTTGCAAGAGAATCATAGTAACGTAATTTTTCATTTTTCTGGAGACTATTATAATATCTTTGTGCAATAACCAATATTCGTTCAAACCGTTCCTTTTCAAATTGGTTTAGAACTTCTTTAAAGTCGTTTACATCGGTGGTATTGGGATCTAGATTCCGAACATACTTAACTAGGTACATAAGTTCACGTGGCACGCAATTTGTAACCGTTATTGCTTCTTCCTTAATGCCTGGTTTACTCAGAAGGGGGTGCATCTTTAACAACATATCAAATACATCATCCTCTAGTGGAGTGACATATATTACCCACCATTGTCTCATACCATCTTTTATGTATATCGCCTCATATTTATCATGTGTAATTCCCGAGAAGATTACGCGTACACTTTTGTAATGTTCACCCCAAAAAGTAAGGTTCTTCAAAGGACCTAAAATTGGAAGTCTTTTGGGTAGTGGGGGATCTTCCTCAAATAATGCACCATGTTCATCTACAATTAAGAGGGTTTTGCTATCTGACGTTTTGAGAAAGTCCAGAATATTATCAGCGACGATAACCTCAAGCTTTTCAGAAGGATAATCAGCATGTCGCACAATCTGCTCAAGATTGGTGGCAGTCAAAATATCTTTATTTTGAATCAGAAAGTACTTGCAAATCACCTCTCCTGCTCTGATTGATGATCCTACCTTTAGATCAGATGCATCTGCGATGTAGAGAATAACCCATCCTTCAGCAAAAGCTTTAGATGCAAGGAAGTAGGAAATATATGATTTACCCACACCCATTGGGCCTGAAAGAACACGCTTGATTGAATGTTCACTATCTACTGAAAGTTCGTCCCATATGTCAATCATCTGTTTAGTGACAAGCAATGTCCTTCCTTGATATCCTTTAGCGAAGTATTTGGGTTCCTGGCCAAGATGTGGTAGGGTAATTGATTTGCGAGCACCAAGGTTCTGGATGGCATTTTTGAAATCGATGCGCTTGTCAGGTACGAATTCGTCACTCTCAAGCATATCAATTATTTGGGATGGTAATTCTACGGTGTGACCATCAGAGGCGGTGTGTGACTTCCAACCCTGTTCTATTCGACGCTTCTTTATAGGATACTCTACCAAGTGCAGTATGATTAAATCGGTATTTGATAAATATATCAACGCAAAAATGTCACGTGTTCACTCGAGTTAACTAAATTTACTTACCGATGATTGGTACGGGTTGTTCGACAATAATATGGATATGTTCCTCGACAGGAGAGTCAGGGAAGAATTTCGAAATATTTTTTGTCGGTAGGAGTTCATCTCCGTCATTGAGTGTGAGATTTCTTAAGAGATCGTCGTGATCATCGGGAATTTCTACCTTCCATAGTTTGAGCTTGTCTGCGTCAACATCAGCAAATTCATTTTGTTTTTCCGCCTTAATAGCTTTCTTTAGTTCACTAATAGGTTCGTCCCTGCTTATTTTGACAGAAAAAGCATTCGTGGTCGTATCTCCTTTGACAAGGCAGAGTAAAGTGATAGGCATGTTTTCGGTTTATACCTTTTGCACAGCTACAAACCAAAAAATACCGTTACGCCCCACCATTTATATAGTAATTCGACGTTTGGGCACACGATTTTATATAATAAAGCTCATTATCATGTGAAACCTCTCTGCTCTATAGGCTTACCGGGCCCTGCTCCATATAAATTGTACTCCAAACAATTGTAAATTAATTTTACTCCCCGTGAAAAAATTTGATCAATCAATTATTACACTGTATCATTAATTCATTACTCCCACCTGGTAAAAAATCAATCTGAACCTTTTATAGAAATGATCAACCAAATCCTAATTGGGTTTTTAGAAACGTAGTTCTCTTTGTAAGAAAGTAAGATAAAGTATGTTTAGATTGTTTCTGTAAATATCACAAACATGTGAATATTCAGATTTTATGAATCTTATAATAAATGGAGAACTTAAAAGATTTAAAGACATCAGTCTATAATTATGATTTTTTATACTAAAAGGAAGATTGAAAAAAATTTTTTATAGATAAAATGTGTTGTTGTACTCTTTTAAATCCTTTTTTGCAAGTTTCAATTATATTGAAACATTTATTTTAATAATAATTTTATCTTGATGAGTTTAAATATGAATATAACTCTGTATAACAATATAATTGTGAAGAAAAAGAGTAGTTTAGGAATTATATATAAAAAATTTTTAAAATTAAATACTTTTTATTATATTCTATAAATTTTGTCTAAATTTATTTTTTTTTATTTTTAAACTTAAAAGTTTTATAAGTTATTTTTTTAAAAAAGAGATTATAGTAATCAAAATTTTTAAAGAAGAAATTAAAATAAAAATATATTAGAATATCAACTTGAAAGAAGTTATCTAGTAAATTTAATATACAAAATTAATTAATTAAAAATTGATTATAAGTTTAATTATAGTGATTTTTATAAATATAATTTCACAAAATAAGGTTCTAATGGATATCAATTTCTAAAAATATTAAAAAATATATTAAATAATATATTAAAAAAAATTAAAAATAAATATAAATATATATTATATATTTAAACTATTTAATTCAAATGAAATTAATCTTAAGTTTATTTTTATCAATAGTTAAATTATTTTATATTATAAATTATTTATTTTTCAATAATATATAATTGAAATTTAAATATATACGTATGTAATATACTATATATCAACTTTATATCTTAAAATTATTTGATTTAATTCTATTTTTTTTTTTTTTTTTATAACCCTAGATCAGGCTAGGTATGTGTACTTTATTAAATGCTTGTATACTGTACATTTTAAATGATTCGCCAATATTCGATTTAATTCTATTTTATTTATTTTATAACAATTTTTATATTGTTCTTTCCTGGATTTAAATTATTAAAATAATTCTTTTTTTTTTTTTTTTAACTGGGTGGCTTACACCTTGTTTATTAGATATTGTTATGAGTATGTACAAATTTATTTTAT